GCGTTAAAATTCGGTTGCGGTAACAATAACTAACAATTGGCTGAGTGAAAACCTCCTGTAGGAATATTTCTGTTCCTACAAATCGAGTTTTTCATCTGATTTCCAGATAACAGAAAATTCAGCTACATTAATGGAATTGTTTTCTCCGTGAGACAAACGTATTTCGGAGATCAGATCTGTTCTCATAAAGCATTAAGTACCAGCTATTCCCGGGTATTCCGTATTTCATTGTACTTTTAGGACGAGCGCGATCTACAATTCATATTTCCAGTCGAACGACGGCTTTTCACGATAGCACACGTTGAATTTGAACGCGGAGGCCGTCAGCCTCATCGAATCGCGAGCGGCGATCGCACGTGCGGCCCGCGCGAATTGTACAGCGCTGCGAAATTTAGAACGAACGCTCACGCGATAATCAATGAAGCGAAGCCGGAATTTCTACGGGGCTTATTGGTTATGCCGCGATGAATCGCGCATGCCAGCTTTCCGCCGTTGCCGTCATTTCGACGGCGTTACGCCGACTCGGCGAGGTATCATGCCTTATTCTCTCCCTCTCTCTCTCTCTCTCTCTTTTCTCTCGTTTCCATCCCTTTCAACCTTGCACACCCCTTCGCTACGTTACGATCGAGAGTTCGTTTTACCGCCTCTCGATGCTGAATTCTTTGCACTCGAAACGAGTTAAGTGTACAGCGGACGAAGGGAAGCACTTGCGCATCCCATCTTCGGTGGCATGCTCTTGCACAAGGAAGGGAACTATTGCTGCAATGCGCTTTCGTGGAGAAAAGATTTTAGTTCGTTATGTTAATACGAATGAGCTGCAATCTGACAGATAACAATCGCTTTTCGGCGAAGCCTTCCTCTCTGGCGCGGATTCATTTCGAGAAAACCCAGCCATTGCGTGTATCTTTCCTCTGTCCGCGTTGTACACTTGGAATTTCCGAGGAAAAAAGAGGAGAGTGGAGAAACTTGCAGTTGTGAAAAGAATCAGACATTAAGGCGGATCGATAAAAATACACTTGCGTGTCTGTCTGCATTACGAGCCCGTGAAAAGGCGTCACGCATTATGAAAGATAACCCGTAATTATTTATCTGCGCGGAACATTAATATCTACTCGCGCGATAAATAGTGATAACTTGCGACGCGTAATCGATAATTCGGACAATCTCACGCTTTTACTTTTTTCTCCCGTCTCCCTTCTCTCTCTCTCTCTCTCTCTCTCTCTCTCTCTCTCTCTCTCGTCTATTCCATCGTTATCGATTCTCGACGGATACCAGAAACTTCGTTAAGCTCCCGGTACCATCATTAAAAAAATTGCATTAATAAATTTACAGAAAAGCAATTTCGTTGCTCGTCGAAATCCCATAGTTTAGCAGGACTTCGCTTTCGACATTTTATCATTACTCACGGCCACGTTGTAGAAACAGCACGTAGCATCTGCCACTCATAGTTGACTGCCGACTCCTCCCGGGATCATCCCGGGATCGGGCGATTCCGCGATTCTCGGCGTGGGCCACGCGTCGTCTCATCGATTGCCTAAAAATAAAAGAGGCGTCCGTTAATTAAGCCGTCGACCTACATCGCGTATCATTTTTAATCCGTATTCTCGGATCGCCGGCCGATCGATATATTATGCGTTAATTATTAACTGCTCTCTCTCCGCTATTATTTCGAGGCGTCGCTTATTATGCGACAAGTCCGTTATAAACGTACCTTCGACTTATTTAGACACTGATATACCCATCGGACGCTGAAGCTCGCCCTTAACTCGTATCAGCAGCCTAATTGAGTCCCTGAAGACTCTACGCCCTGGGATCATCGTCTCCGCGATGGCACGAGATTTTCACTCTAAAGAGGGATGTCTTCCGTTTGATCTCTGCAAGAATTACAAATTTTACATTAATTTTCTACGTCAATTTCTCAATTCCCACTCGATGGTCTTGTAAATTTGATCAGGTCGTAAATATTTTCATTGAATGCAAGAAACGAGACAACTTTCCTCACGATTAGTGTGGTCTTTTATTTATTGTGGGCGTATAATTAATGTCTGTTGAAGAGAGGTAGAGTTTTCCGTTATAAATTTTTTCCTCGCGAAAGAATAAGGTAAAAGTACTTGGATACATACTTAATTTTTAACTATTTACTCTTTCTCTTTTAACTTTTCTCTTTCTTTCTTAACGTTTTTATCCCTTCAAAAAGAAATATTTAAACTTTTAATACAGTATATATATATATATATATATATATATATATATATATATATATATATATTCTGTATTAAAAGTTTAAATATTTCTTTTTGAAGGGATAAAAACGTTAAGAAAGAAAGAGAAAAGTTAAAAGAGAAAGAGTAAATAGTTAAAAATTATGTATATATATATATATATTCAATACTCTATATATATATATGTACATATATATATGCATATATATGTACATACTCGTTATGTTAAAAGTTTTAATATATTGAAGTTTTGTATTTGAAGACCACAATAATACAAATGTCCAGAGTTATGTATCCAGAGATTGATACTTTTATTTCGTAATTGAAAGCGTGAAGACGATAAAAGTACGATTAACAGCTCGCTTAATGTTTCACGTTGTGTTGTGTCGACGCGATGTGTTGGGATAAATAATTAATAGCTCAATATAATGTTTCGCATTGTGCAACAATGTGTATCGCTAACAGTTGACTGTTATAAATCTATAAGGGTCGGTTTTTCAATAGCAATTTAGACTTGAATTCAAGTCTATTCTATTCTAACAATGCGTTTGTTTTGTTTACACAGAGTTTAAGTTGATATCTAAGTTTTATCATTGAAAAACCGGCCCTAAGGGTTTTCCGACGAAAATAATCGCGGTCGGACCTCGCGTTAATTAAGGCCAATGACCCGAGATGGAATACATGATTCGGAAAGCGAGTGTAGTTACAAACCGTGAAATAGCACGAGCAAGTGGCAAGGGTGTCTGTTTAACAAAAAGATACGAGAGTAAGGTTCTAATAAATGGGACGCGATCCTCTTATTGATCTACCTCGGAACGTTTCTATAGTAGCGAAGGGAAAACCTGTCACGTGATTACGTGCGCTTTGAATTTCCGTCCTCCATTTTCTCTCTTTCTGTCTCTCTCTTTCTTCCCCCTTTCTGCCTTGTTGATTTCCCGAAAAAAGCCTGTGTATGTAATAACACTCATATAAATAGTACACGGAGCTTTGACTCATCAGTCTTTTCCCGTATTCACCTTGGGATGCAAATAACTCGGCATCACGCGTATATGCAATGCTCGCGATAAGATAACTTTGAAATCGCGTTAATCATCTATATTGATAAAAATGAGTTTGAACAGAATGAAGGTAACAAATGTAGGTAAATAAAAAAAGAAAGAAAGAGAAAAAGAAGAGGGAGAGTACCGTAGAAATTTATTTCAAACAGAGGAACAACGTGAGATAATATTTTATTTAATAATATTACGTTATATATGTTGGCAAAATTTCTCTTTCTCTCTTTTTTGTGCTTAAAATAAAACATCAGTCTACTTATACAGCACAAATGTTCAAAATACATTCCAGAGATGTTCCAGGGATATGTGATATTTCTGGGACATCTCTAAAATATATTTTGGATATTTGTGTTGTATAGGTATTACAAATCTCAAGTAATAATTTACATCTAAAGTGTATTTATGCCACCAGTGTTACTGTAGCATAAATTACATAATGAATCATTATTTTCTACAATATAATAAAGTATGATCGCATTATGAGTTATATTACGTTATCAATTATCATAAAATAGAGGTAAATTACCAGTACACCTTCGTGCTCGTAACAGATGCACCGCAATCGATCAACTCGTTCAAATTTCCGTTACTCGTAACTCAACCGCGCGTTTCAAAATGGCGATTACCGCTCGAATACATTGTATACACATGTACACGACAAAACGCGCTAATGCTGTTCCATGCGTCTGCAATTAGCGGTCGAATTATCCGATGAGAAACGCGTCTCCTCATGATTGCTAATTATTCAGCTTAAGCGCTTCATCACTTAAAAAGAACGTCAAAAATCGATGAATCTCGCGTGTCAAAGATCGCTGACTAACCGCGAGTGCACGGGGAACGGCATTAACGCATCCGATCGTTCACTTGATACGAACAATGCCTAGGACTACCTACCTATCTGTCTACCTACCTACAGGATTTGCGCATTCGGCCGGGAAATGGCCAAATTCGAAGCCGAAAGGCATTAATGACGTCGAGTGCATCCACCTGCATCCATCCTTGACTGATTCCGGCTTTCCGCGGCATCGATGCGTAACGAACGAGATCGTAACGGTCGATTAGAGTGGTACCGCGTGCGCCATCTCTTCGCGCGCCACCTCTCTGCGCGTCATCTCTCCGCGCGCCTCCGCAACCAGAGAGCGGCGGCGCTGCCGTCGGCGGTCAGCGATCGCTTTAAAATCCGGCGGCGCGTCGCCGCAGGACGCGCTCTAGCCGTTCGTTAGCGCGCACTTCGCGATGTTGCGATCGTCGTTTTTTCGTGTTCACGACGGCCGCGCGGCTTAGCCATCCGCGGCGTAGCGTTTCTAACCTACGCGACGACGCCGTCGATCCGGCCTCCCCGGGTTCGGGATTCTGAGAACTGTCAGGGATCCGGTCGTGTCTGTTCGGACTCGCGGTAACCCCGATGCACCGCCGTCGTGTATGTGCGTGTGCACCGAGAAACAACGCGTAATCGGGTTACGGGCGGTCGATCCGACGATGCCTCTCGGCGTCCTGTGAAAACGTCGTCGCGGTCACGTGCGCAGAAAATGTAACGCCCTTTGCCGCTCGCTCGACGGTTCACAGGATATCGGTGTCGTCGACGCGGTTGTCGTCCACGAGCGAAAATATCGCTTCCCCCCCACGGGAAAATGAACGGCCAGGTGCAGTCGTCGAGGGAGAGGTTAGGTGAGTGCAGCGTCGTTTCGTTCATAGCGTTCATTGTCTCTCAGCCTTCGAGGACGATCGAAATGCGTTTTGTTGCGGAATTATCGGCGATAGACGCGTTGCGAAACGACAGCGCGATAAGAAACGGATTACGCGGCGATTTTTCACTCGCATTGTTTCCGTTACGTATTATCCAGTGTTATTCTAATCGCCTTGCAACGTTCACCCGATCACGCGATTATTTTGCAATGCTCACTGCGTCGCTCGGAGAAGCAATAGAGACGAGGACTGAGAGGCGTTTTGAGGTATATTAATGGCATTTATTGGAATAGACGTTATTTTAAAGCACTTGAAGGGCACTCTCGGTTACTTGCTGCAAATTGTTAGATTGTTAGCTGTTGTTATCGTCGTTTTGTTGACCGTTAATTTGGCTTCATTAAAGCATGTTGGTGAAAGCCAAATAACGCTGGCTCCACATGTGCATGCCACATCCATTGCAAACAAGATAAGAGTGCAAGGTGTACTCAGTGGTCCTGTCGCCATGTATTTACTTTTGTGATTTATTATAACAGTGGCATCAGACTACCATCTCAGTCACAATGTTTCATTATCTTCCATTATCTCTTCGAATTCCAGGTTTTTCCTGTACCATTTCTTAAATGCCAGACAGATGATTCTATTTCCTAGCTCTCAAAAACTTAAGATTCGTGGAAACATTAATAAATACAAACTTTTCATTGAAAACTAATATATTGCTATTAGACATGTGTGAGCCACAATAACTTATTAAACTCCCCAATTTTCTTGAACAAAGCTTTTCAAATACTCTGTTGTAGAAATGATAAGCCAATTACAATTTTTATGGAATTATTTCATGGAGAAAATTGATGTCTTATCTGTACCAAATAAGAAATACTTTTCTTTTCTGGATAAGATATCTTCTTTTTCTCCACATATCACTTTCTTTTTCAAGAGCATTATCTTCACTGATTATAAGTCATGAAATAAAATATAGCTCAATCCAGATATCAGTACCTGTGTTCTATATTATTCCATTCGTTGAGTGTTACAGTTGCTGTAACCACCATTGTGATGTTTGTGGGGCAACACAGCAAACAAAGCATTCAGATGTTCACTAAGAGAAAAAAAATATTTAAAAAACAGTAAATGTTCATTTGATGGATATTAGTAATATATTTACTTAGATCTAAATTCTTTTATTTAAATAGAGTAAATAGTTGCTTTCGTAAGCAACTAAAGTTCTCTTAAGATTTTAAGATGTACATTTTCTTATTTGAAGAATGTTTGATATTAAAATAAATATTTTTCTAGCTTACTATCTTTTAAAAAAGATAGTAAGCTATCTGAGAAAAATAATTTTTTCTCAGTATACCAAAAATAGAACACAGCTGAACGTGTATTGTATCTTTCCAGACGGTTTTAGTTCCGACACAATGGACTTATTCAGGATGTTTGGCAGCGACCGCGTCCCTGCTATCCCCAGCTCAGACGCGGAGATACCGTTGGACGACAGCACGGCCCCCATGGAAGTCGACAGTAAGGTGAAAACGAAATTGCTCTCTATGTGGAATAACGTTAAGTATGGTTCGTATCTCGATTAGATACTTCGCGGAGTTATGGCAGAGCGTCGGCTCGAGGTGTACTGAACATCTCTTTCCATTCTCGGCCGCAGGATGGACCATGAAGATGAAGGCGAACTTCTCTAAAGAATCTCCTGTATGGTTGTTGGGCCAATGTTACTTAAAAAAGTCCGAGGATCCCTTGGAAAGCGCCTCGGAGGCCTTGGAACCGGTAGGAACTGGCAGTCAGGTCTCCCTGGCGATGGACGCCACCAATTTTGAGAATACCATAGAGGAATTCAAGAGGGACTTCGCGTCACGACTATGGCTCACATATAGACGGGAATTTCCAATTCTGAACGGTTCCACTTTCACCACGGACTGTGGCTGGGGTTGTATGCTGCGTAGCGGTCAAATGATGCTGGCACAAGCATTGGTCTGCCATTTCCTCGGACGTGGTAACTATTCCTACTTTCTGACTCTCTTCTTGATTAGGATTGCTGCGAGGAATTTACCATTTATTTACTTCTTCTTTTCACTAAGTTGCGTTTTAAGTAAAGTCACCATATTCGAAGAGTAGATTAGGATGAAAAGAGAGTTATATCGATGAGTAGCATTAATATTGATAAAAACTCATGTTCTTATTCTGTCTAGAATGGAGATGGCGGCCGGAACAACCTATCGAGACCACTCAGCAAATGCGGGACGACAACAATCACCGAATGATCATCAAGTGGTTTGCGGATCAGTCGAAGCCCGAATCGCCTTTTTCCATACATAGACTTGTGTCTCTCAGCGCATCGACGGGGAAGCGGGCGGGCGATTGGTACGGTCCCAACTCCGTCGCGCATCTTTTAAGTCAAGCTGTGGGACGCACTGGCGAGCTTCCCAACAGTAAACTCAGTCGGCTAGCGGTGTACGTTGCTCAAGATTGCGCAGGTTTGTATTATTGGCAACTGTGCAATACAAATGAATTAGTATGATGGAAAATATGATCGTGTATTATATTAAAGACTAAGCTACGTCTGCGGTAGAGATTACGATGTATCAGGTACGAATTAACGGTTCATATGTTTTAGTATATATGCAAGACGTCGAAGAAGCTTGTCGCACCCCTGACGGTGGATGGAAGTCTTTGATACTACTCGTACCTCTGATGCTCGGCACCGACAAATTGAACCCCGTGTACGCACCGTGCGTAACAGCGCTGCTGACGTTGGACGCGTGCATCGGTGTTATCGGAGGTCGACCCCGACATTCGCTCTACTTCATCGGCTACCAGGACGACAAGCTAATCCACCTTGATCCGCATTACTGTCAGGAGACCGTCGACGTCTCGAAGGAGAACTTCCCGTTGATTAGCTTTCATTGCACGTCGCCAAGGAAAATGTTGCTCTCGAAGATGGACCCCAGCTGTTGCGTGGGCTTTTATTTTCCTAACAGAGAATCGCTTACCGAATTCATGGAGACGATTGAACGGGTAAGTGTTATGGTTTTGGAACACGTGCGAGTGGGAAGTGAAATTGATACATGTAGTTGTACGCTAACGTGATTTCAATGAAATGTACTCGTATCTCCTTTTTTTTATTATACATATATCTATTCAAGAAGTAGAATTTAGAAATGTTACGACTTATGGAATTATCGAATGCTTACGGAATTATCGTGGTTTAGAAGATGAAAACATGTAAGATAGTGTCGTACTAAATAATAGAGAAGCACAAATGAAACGCTATGAGAAAGAAGATACAGAGGAAGATAAGATACATAAAAAATTCATATAACGTCAACGTCGGTATCTCTCTGTTTTTGTTACAGTTAGTGATACCGTCGAATCAAAAGGCGGACTATCCGATGTTCTTGTTCTGCGAAGGAAGCAGAAAGGATCTGCAGCAGGGTATCGAAGTCGACGAGTGTCTTCTAGCTTCGACGAGTTCCTTCGACGATCACGAGGCATTGGACGATGACTTGTGCGAATGCGAAAAGTTTGAGCTGCTGCAGTAAGATGAGGAGAAATAAACAAACCTAAACACAGCGATCGCGTGCTTGCTCGAACATCAACGAGAAATATTAGTCTCAAATATCTCTAATATATCTCTACTCGTTCGTTCACTATACGCGACAAGTACTACTTTTCGTATACTTGCTCTTCTAGCGCGTGTAGGAAAACGTTGTAAAGCAAAATACGAACCGAATATCACCATTTAGACCGGCAAGATCGCTTTGATTATAGAAACGACAGCGTTACGTTTCACGCGATCGAAAAATAAAATTCAAGTTAACGCAATCACTAGTTTTATTAGTTATTTACGAAATTAAAGAGAAAAAAACATACGCAAGACAAGCTCGAGCAAATTTGATCCCCGACAAGTTAACCGACTGTTAGGCTGACCGTTTCTCAATGATGTAATGTGTGTATATATATACATATACAGGGTTTAGCAAAAGTACCGGAACGGCAAGATAACTCGGCGGGGGAGCATTTTAGAAAAAAATGTTTCGAATAAAAGTTGTAAGGCTTAAAAAGTCGCATTTTCTAAGATATTTACGTAAATATCTACAAAATTATTGGTTTCAATAATTTTTTACTTCAATTCTATCAACTTTTCCGAAAAATGTCAAGAGATAAAAATTATTTATTTTGTTCTCATAGAGCTCTGAGAATTTTTTCAGAATTTTATATTAATTTTTTAGTACTGCATTTTCTTGAAGTACTAAAAAGTTAACACAAAATTCTGAAAAAATTCTCAGAGCTCTTTGAAAACAAAATAAGCAATTTTTATCTCTTAATATTTTTCGGTGAAGTTGATAGAATTCAAGTAAAAAATTATTGAAACCAATAATTTTGTAGAGTTATATAGTTTTAGAGAGTTTTTTATTTACGTAAATATCTTAGAAAATAGAAGTCGTATAAAAAATTTTTTCAAGCAAAAGTTTGCTTTTTTACGTAGAATAAAATGCCGTAATAAAAAATATGTATTTCTATTTAAAAAAGCAAAGTTGACCTTGTCCTGACCTTGGCGACGTCATCTTAAGTCAAATAACTACTGTCATTAAATGCGACTTTTTAAGCCTTACAACTTTTATTTGAAACATTTTTCTCTAAAATGCTCCCCCGCCGAGTTATCTTGCCGTTCCGGTACTTTTGCTATACCCTGTATATACAAGGTTATATATGGGAATGCACAATTTTCCTCACCCTGGGTTATGTGTTGATCTCAAAATTTATAGATCGCTTATAATCGATCAGTAGTAATAGTTACTAACTTGACAAGACTATGTAATCGCGTGTTGAGCGTGAGCGAATATTTATTTTTCGTGCGAGTCCGGACGCGAGACGTTTCCTTTTTACGATTCGCAGCACGCGTCAGGATTCCGTTGAATCACGCTAAACATTTCGTGATACTTAAAGATTTTAATACATTTGCGGAATTCTCTCTACTGTATGTAACAACGATCGAGTGGGCAGTTTGCGGGAGTGATTACTCGGTTTATTAAGTCTGATTTATTTAAAGGAAAATGTAACAAATCGCTAATTTATTTATTTATTTATTGTAACTGTATTGTTACTGAGTGCTAGGTGATTTTAGCCTCGAAGACGTATTAGCGGGGAATGCGAGTGTCTGAAATATACAAGCTGAGACATCTAATAGAGGACACACCTAAATATTCGAAGGAACTTCGACGACCTTGAAGTCCCGAAAACAATAATTTTAAGCGTATCTTTGTCCCTATTACCACAGCCGTCCCTACGAACTATATAACTTTATACTTAACCGTATTTTCGTATCATGTCAGAGGTAACAGAAATATTTAGGTATATCCTTTTGGATGTATCTCATCCTGTATATATGTGTATATATATATATAATATATAATATATATTATATATTTATATACATATGTATATGCGTATATATTGTACTCATACTGTTGAAAATGTACACAATATCAAACATTGTTGTTATATCTCTCTTACATCTATAACGCAATAATACGGAATAAAGTGGGGGAAACGTACGATGATTACGTTCGTAAATACACTTCTCGTGGATCGACGCGAACGATAATCGTTTCTTTGTACTATATACTTCGAACTTTGGCCAAGCAGCGGCAATAGTCGTGCGAACACTCGCTCATAAACAAACAGAAAAATAAATTGCGACGAGCCGCGAAAAAATTACAATATCTCGTCAGATTATCTCACAGAATTATCTACCGAAGACGTGTTATTATTGTCAATACCGGAGTCGGTCGTTATTGGCGTGTACCTTACAGCCTAATGCGCGTGTGTGCGTATAGAAAGCGCGCGTCACGAACAAAGTACGCGCAAAACTACTAGTACGTGTTTCTTTCTGTCGTTGTAACCGCAGTCGTTGCCGCCAGGCATTCGCGCTTATTACGACGAGATCATACACGGTGTGTGAATCGAATCGGTCTCGGATAAATCCAAGCGGATCTACTTATTTTCATTCTTAGATGCAAGAACATGTAAAAGTTCTTTGATAAAAAATCGAAATTGATATAACTTCTAAATATACATGAGAATGTAAAAGAATTCTTTGTAGGCATCAGAAATTGAAATAGACCTAGTAAAATAGGCTGTGTATCGAACAATTCGATAAAATTTGCTTAAATGGATTCGTCGGGAGAATTCGATAGAAAAATTAGAATTGTTGCGCTACGAAATCCTTGATGAACGGCCACATTTCGTTGGTAGTGTTGCCGCGAAATTCCTTCAGTATCCCAATTTCGCGGTAAAATCGTACCACGGGTTCAGTCTTGGTCGCGTAGTCCTGCAGCCTCTTCTGCACGACTTCCGGCTTGTCGTCTTCCCTCTGGCTCAACGGCTCGCCGGTTACATCATCCTTACCCTGTAATACGATGCACCTTGAAGTCTATATTTCATATTAAATTGTTTGATCGGTAATATGTATATGTGTGGAGTGTTAAGGAGATGCCAAAATGAGTGACAAACTCCAAAAAATGTCGATAACGTAGAGACGATCGTTATAACGGTTACATAAGTATTTTAATTTTGTACATATGGACCTTGTATAAATGTACTGTTTTGTTTTACTATATTTAGCAGAGAATCTAATCATGTTTGCATAGAAATCTTTCTGCAAATTTTTCGTATGTTTTTATGACTCGAGATACCAATTTTTATCGTTTTCGACTTAATTTCAATTTCCAACTCATTTTTAAACACACTGTCATCGTGCAAAAGTATATAACTTCGTGCAATCAGCATGACGTAAGCTTTGCCGAAAAAAAGTTAGCATTTTGTCGAGATTCAATTCGAGAACGGCATCTCCTTGAACGCGTCGCGCGAATGTAGCAGTAAAAAAAGAACTCGACGCTGGATTCTCCTTTGACCTGACGAGTTGGAAGCGTGTTATTGTCAAGCTCATGGATTGCGTAACTCATACCGGCACTCGTGGGTCGTTAAAGCCGATGTTGTAGACCCTACCGCTGGGTAGGTGGACCCATCTGTTCTGCACTCTGTCCAGTATAACGGAGGTCGGCACCACGAGATTCAGTACGACGCTGATCGGATGCAGCTTCTGCAATTGCTCCGCCTGGGCCAACGTCCTCGGAAACCCTGCGTTGATGCCAAGATATGCATTCGCATTTAGAGTAGTGCAGAAAGTGAACATCGGCCTCGGTCGACACGCGACCCTGTAAGAGCGAGAGCACGCGCGTGGTTGCCACCAAGGATCGATATTCGCGAAATTTCGAATATCGTAAGTAGGATCTTCGTGCTTTTTATTAGCCAATTTTCTGCAGAAATGTCGATTCAATCCTTGGTTTTACAATCCTTGCCTCGCGTTCGTTCTTTCGCTTTGCTTACCGTCCAACAGCCAATTCGAACCCTCCACCGATTCGATCTCCTTGCTGATCAAGGATATCATCGTGTCGTCTGGCACGAAGCTGCCGCTGTCCATATACCTCTTGACTTCCTTACCCAGATCTGCGAATGATGTTTACGTTTACACACGTGTTTACGTTGAGTTTCGTCTGATGTGAACGAGTAACACTTGTTTCCTTGAACTTTTAGTGAATCGCGTGTAGTGGTCGCGGGAATTTCATTCTAGTGAAAATAATTTAAATGTCTTTTACGAAAATTAGTAGTATCTTGCGATAAATTGAAATTCTTTTGAGCGCGCAGCACGAAAAAAAATAATAAAAATGAATCGACGCTTCGTTCCTTCTTATTGGAACTGTTCGCACACGTGTATTCAAAATTAACAGATCGACGATAATCCGAAGCGATTTCAATTACGTGGCGCTGAATCGAAAGTAAAATGAGAACGCGGCTGTGCGATTTTATTGAAATAAATAATTCACAGACGTGTCGTCGAGGATAGCAGATATAACGCGGAAAATAAATCGATAGTCCTTCGAGATTTTGCAACGATATCGCGATATGCGTTCTTATCACACAAACGATCTATCTTCTGAGATAAAGAAGCCTCGGGAGACGTCTAGGAATACATGGAGGGTCCAATGTCACAAAAACAAACGTGTAGTCTGATCGAAAAAAGCGGAAAATTGATGTGTGCGCAATTAGGGCCGACAGAAACAGAGAGCAATTGTCCCAGTTGTAATCAATCTGTTAACAAGTTGTGATCCTCGCAACGATCAGAGTATCGTGATCATGTATTCTCCTCCGGCATGAACTCGTGAAAAGTTTCACGTGAAAACGTTTATATTTTCATTGTTTATGAAGTTACATGATCGCTGAAGTCGTCGAGTTGAAACTTCGCGGTGCGCCGCTTTTAGTTAAAGTTACATGATTGCTACCCAGGAGAAGATTTGCCATGACATACGTACCGGTGCCGGCGGACACATGGAAGCGCAACCTGTCCCCGCTGGAGATGTGAGCGACGCCGAATTGCTCGACGATCCTGGAAGACACGGTGCCCTTACCGGAGGCCGGCGCGCCCAATATTACGGCCCTGAAGGCCGTGGCGGCGGCGGCGCGACACGTGGAGATAGCTACCATGAGGTAGAGCCAGTTGTATAATCCGTGAAGCTTCCCCGTGATTGACGACAGCGATGATGACGATTCGCTGCAATTAGAAAGACGCGACACGACTTCTGACGACGTCGTCGGCTCGTCGCTGAGACCGGGGTCTGCCGGACCACACGCGTTGCCTCCCTCCTTCCCATCCCCCCTCTACCAAGCGGACTTTGATACGCCGATGATAAGGTAAAATCAGCTGGCGAGTCGCCCGCGCTTCTCCCGCGCAATGCGGAACGTCGTGATGCAACTCGACACTCGATTTTGTAATTGAGAGATTGCGTCGAGGTCCGCGTAAGCGTCCACGAATGACGAACAATAAGGTAACCTCGTTTTTCCCGCGACGTCATGAGACGCGTGACGCGCACTTCCGCTAAGAGGAGCTAGAATTCAAATTAGAATTTCATTACGAACGATTAGCTATCAATCACAATTACGGATATGGCTGATTGGCGATTTTACGACGTTTATAAGTTATGTTGCTTAACGAGCCGTGGACTTTGCAGAATTTGAAGGTTATATCGTTGATTCGTAACGAGACATTAGCCACAGCAGCGAGCGTCTGTTGCTAATGTCTCACTGTGAGCCACAGTGCTGTCAGTTTGGGAGATTTCCTCTACGAGAAAAAGAGGCCTTCTGCGCATGCATAGAGTGACGTATGGTCTGCTATTGGATGTCGTATCGTATTATTCTATGCATGCGCAGAAAGCCTTCTGTCGCGGAGGAAATCTCCCGAACTGACAGCACTGGACGTGTCTGAGCATAAAGATTGTCGCCATTGTTTCTGATAGTGTCGTAGACGTAAAGGCCAAATCACACTAACGATTGGCGATAAATGATTGACGATTGAAGATTGGAACTTGACCAATTGGAACAAAGCAAGCTAAGGCTGAAGCTTATTGATTCGTTAAAATCTGATCTTTAATTGGGTGCGTTCAACGAACTCAACAGTTGCATAACAGTTGAGCAATTCGTCAATATAATTGGTCTAAAGTTAGAGATCTAACAGTAAGGACCAATAATCACTGACCGCTCACTGATCAGCTATTTCTGAACGCAGCCATTGTCAATCGTCAATCGCCAATCGTTAATGTGATTTGGCCTTAAGGCCAAATCACACTAGCAATTGACGATTGAAAATTAGATTTTGACGAATCAACAAACTTCAACCTTGACTTGCTTTGTTCCAATTGGTTAAGTTCTAATCTTCAATCGTCAATCATCAATCGCCAATCGCTAGTGTGATACGAGCCTTACGTCTACGATACGTCAGAAACAATTGCGACTTCTTTTAGTCTTTTCTTTTGAGCTGCACTGCTGAATTGGTGCAATAAGTTAGAGTGAGAAAAAATATATTTTTTCATTTTAACTTATTGTACCAATTCGGCAGTGCAACTAAAAAGAATCAACCATTTGTGTCTCATTCTAAACGTCCTAGATACATTAATTGGCAACACTCTTTGGCCGGTATTCTGAGTTCTCTTTTAACGATAAATGAGTCTCTAAAAGTGACTCATAGCCAATCAGCTTATAAGCTTATAAGCCATTGTTAGAGGCTCATTTATCGTTAAAAGAGAACTCAGAATACGGGCTTTTGCATTTTCGTCGAGAGCGATGGAAACCCAAGTGCAGAAAGTGCAAGAGAACTTGCTTGCTTTGTCCCAATTGGTCAAGTTCCAATCTTCAATCGTCAATCATTTATCGCCAATCGTTAGTGTGATTTGGCCTTTACGTCTACGACACTATCAGAAACAATTGCGACAATCTTTATGCTCAGATACGTCCAGTGCTGTCAGTTCGGGAGATTTCCTCCGCGACAGAAGGCTTTCTGCGCATGCATAGAATAATACGATATGACATCCAATAGCAGGCCATACGTCACTCTATGCATGCACAGATGAACTTGGATTAGGTGACAATTTCCCAAAAAATAGAAGGGATAATGTTGGTATGAAAGAAAATCTCTATATAATCTCACGATTATATCTCACGATTTTAATCTCTCTATTATATCTTACGATATAATTTAAAGGCCTGTTCTTTGTAACTGTACTGCTGAACTGGTGCAATAAATTGAAATGAGACAAGTATATGTTTTCTCACTTTTGCGTTAGTTCAGCAGTGCAGTTACAAAGAACAGGGCCCCTATTCTTGAAATAGTTGCGTATACGTAAGTTTTACTGCGCAGGTTTAATCATATCATAAAATAGCTGTGCAATGAAAATTATATATACGCAAAAATTTCAAGAATAGGGACCCAGATCATTAAATTACTAGTGTAGAAATTTTCCTTGATACCAACATTATCCCCTGCACTTTTCGGGAAATTGTCGCCTAACCATGAACTTGTCCATGTTTTTTTGTGTTTTCGCGTTGGCCACATGCAGAGTCAAGATGGCGGCATCAAATTGAACTGGAAAAACTGTGAGCGTTTTTCTTTTGAATTGTCCGACTTTACAGATGAATCACACAGAAATGGAACAATCACACCCGCAATCGAGCGCACCAACCACATTCGCCGTCATATCCGAGAATTCACACGAGGAGGTGATCCATCAGATCAACAAGGCGCAGACAGAGTTGAAGATTCGACTGGAGCAAGTGTCGAAGTTGCGAAGTGAGTAACCGCCAAATTCAATTGTCTCTGAACTTCTTCGTTCATACGTCGACTAAACGATCGTCGTATTTATCGCAGTCGATTGCGTGAAGATGCAACTGAACTTGCTGCAGCTCTACAAGCCGCAGTGTTTGGAAATTCTGGAGATGTTGCGAGACATCTCGACACCTCCGGAAGAGTCTTGCATCTTCAATGACGACGACGAGGTTGAGTCGTGCAACAATGAGGTATGAAAATCACAGCCATGGTATGGCGCGCATGTTCTTTATGTTGAAATATATTTATTACATTTGAATATATATATATATATATATATATATATTTATATATAGGACACTGTGACACATCGAGCATGTGTGTATGTGTATATGCGTGTGTGTTTGTTTGTTCGTAACGCCGTGTAACGTTCGATACGATATAATAGACAGTAATAGATACAGAAATTTTGCAAAGGTAGACTCTTTGGAAGCTGAGTTGAGTACTTTTTTCATTCTTCCCACATAGCATTAAAGTTAGTATTTAAAGTTAGTTATTAATATTAAAATGTTGTTATAATATCTCGGTGAATTAAATTTTTCTTTTTTTTACACGTGAATACAATGTTGCAGTAATCTTCTCAATCAGAGAGCAGCATACAGTGATATCGCTGAAACATCAGTTTCAAATGGTAAGGTGATCATATTTTGATAGATAATTGAAGTGATATTAATTTAACCACAAGACAATCTTGAATTAACCAAGAATTAACGTGCGGATTTAAGGTTCATTCAAAGTCCCGGAAAGTAACATTTTAAGATCACGACGATCGCTACCATCTTTAGCAACATAATTGAAAATTCCTTAAGTTTTTTTAATATTTTAACTTAACTTCTGAAGTTTAATCTCTTAAGTTGCTGTAACATTTCTATGCTATGTGGGTTTTCTCTCTTTTTCTCTCTCTCTTCTATTTTGCTTTTTGCTTTCTCCGACAGTCACCGCGTCGCGTTCTCGGCGGGAAAGAGCGCGGTCGCGATGCGTTTCGCACACAATTTACCGACACGAAACCGCAAATAATCGTCACACGCGGAAGTCACGCGGAAGCGTGGAGAATTAACGCGCTAGAGAATGTATTTGTATCGAGAAACGAATTATTCGCGGCGTGGAAGATTCGCTTTCTCTCTTTCTCTCTTTCCGACATTTTTAGATACTTAACAACGATTTACACAGTCATATCGTACGGTTTCATTTACGGAGCGCTCGTCCAAGCTCTACCGAATCTCTCGGTCAACGAGTTTCCGCGATCTTTCGGCGGCAAACACGCGAATAGTCGTGGGCATCAGTTACGGGTTATTCATTATTGTCTCTATAGTACGTTAAATCGTTGCTCAGTCGCGGAGAAGACTGTACCGGGGTAGTCGTTTAGACGAGCGGCGCAAATCGGTAATAAAACGCATCCCGTCTCAACATTTGACTAGCTAACCGCGCATCTCTTCTAAATTCAGGACTCTCGAGTTCGTCGACTCTCTTCGTCGACGAAGAATCGATATGTGAATCCATGAAAGCAGCGTCGCGTGTGAAAGGAGCTGTCTCATGCGTCGGATCGTGTGTTACTATCGCACTACTTTCGTCACCACCTTCGGAACCGGACGTGTGATCTCGAATCGAGAGCAAACGGACGCACAAGCGAGCTCCACGCTCATCGTTAGTCGTGTTGTGTTGTTCCCAAGTGACTAGTCGGTGTGCCTCGGTTCGAGAGCACCGTCCGCGTGCGACCAGCCCGTTAACCCCTCGGCGAGCGCCACGAGGCAGGTCCCTTGAGTTGTCGCGGCACGAAACGAGAGAAGCTGCAGTCGATAATGAAATATCCAAAAATAAAGCCTTTCGCACTCTCGAATAAAGCGGCACGACTTTGTAATCGCTTACTCGTGGATTTCTCTCCTCGCAATGAGGTCGAACCCCAACTAAGAGCCTAATGCGACTGCCGTGGTGGTCGCTGAGGAGTTAACATACCGGGAACGCGGTGATCTCGATCGACGCCTTGTCACGACGGAAGGTTTCTCGCGATATTACGCGAAGGCTGCCGAAGGATGCCAGTCGTTCCTCGTCCTTAATGGTTTGAGATGGTCTGCAATTCCGGCGAGCGGAGGTAGTAGCGCTCGTATCGATAACGATAACGTCGTAGGCACGACTCACGCGCATTGCGGCATTGCATGGCTGCCGCGGCCGGCGGTTGCAGTTGTGACAACAGCAACGCGGCGTTCGCACACGTCTGGCTCTCCTCGTGGCGGCTGTAGCTCGCTCCGAGTCTGGACGAGCCACCGATCTGCCCTTCCCTGGAGTCCAACGCGTCGCACACCATGCCGGCCTCTGCGGCGTAGTTACCGAGACAGGGTAGCAATGCCTCCTCGTCCTGCGCCTGAAAGGTTAACAAGAGAGTATTAATAAAGTGTTCAGTTTCTTCTTCTGCTCCTTCTTTTCACGAATGTCTGTCTCTGTTTTCTAGGATATAATGTCATTAAGAGTGCATGAATCTGTAGAAACTTAAGGATTAGATATCAATTTCAAAGATCAATTCAAGTATTGAGGATTGATACTCGTCTCGAGACAGAGGAAATGTAGATTGAGATTGTGGATCAGAATTTGGAACACTGTTTATCTTTTAATCTTCAACATCGGCTGATAGCCTGATTCTGAGCTGACGTTGTGGTAGACACGTTCATTGAGATTTCCGTAGCGTATAATGAGGAAACAATCTGTGGACGTACGCATGCTTTACAAATCTGCAGCTTCACGCAAGGTGCAAATAACCGAGACGTATATGTTAGTCTGTCCACAGTTCTGCATCGCCACTCGATCGCTTTCAATTCGGGGCAGCTTCTGGCCTCCTCGACGGCTGTAGGATCGAAACATTAGAGTGTTAGAAAAACGATTTGTTGTTTAATCAACTTTGAGAATAGTAAGAATAAACGCGACACACACACACACACACACACACACACACACATATATATATATAAAATTATTAGAATTATTAAAATATAATTATAAAATTTTTTCAAATAAGAAAATATGTCGTAAATATATTTAATGTACAAAATATGTCTTTATTAGAAAACTGCAATTTTTTAGAAAATTTTAACAACTCGTGATAAATTACAAGATATTGCGAGATTTTTATTAAAAAAAGAAATTGAATGAAAAATGTAATTTGTTGCGGAATATATTGCACAAAGTATGTGTAATTTATCAATCAATTCTCTAATTTTTTTCGGGTACTTACCCTCGCTATCTATGTTGTTGTCTACGTTGTTGTCTATATTGTTGTTGTTGACACCGCTGCGTTTCTCGTCAATTCTGTCACCACTTCCGCTGTTGCCATTTCCGTGACCATTGTCACGAGAACTCGACGTCAAATTATTCTGAACCTCTTTCTGCGTCCTCTGTGCTTCCTTTTGAGCCGCGACGTTGTTTTTGAGATCGCTCAGCGCCTTGCGCATCTTCTGCAGCGAGTAAGCCGCTGCCATCCTCGCCATTAATTTATCCTTTACCTGTTGAATTTTTTTACGAATGTTTGCAAGTTGTTCTTCATGTGTTATTTTGTTTTCGTATATATTTTCAAATTAATTCATTGAAGACCACGATCCCAGACAACATAATGTCTAAAATCGGGACATAAGACGTCTTAAAAATCATCTTTAAAATGTCTTTCAGACGATTTAGGTATAAATGTCTTTAAGGCATCTTAAAGACTATTTTTAAGACGTCTTATGTCCCGATTTTAGACATTATTTTTAATTAGATATCAAGTTTCGTTAAGTAAGGATAGTTCAATTAAAAGTTTTTATATGTAGTTTAATGTGTAGTTGATTTCTTTTTCTTTACAGATTACAAGTTAGTATTAAAATCATTAAATGATGGATAATCTGTAAATTAGATGATAAGAAATTCAAAGAAGAAAGATTCTTGTCGAAGTAATTTACTCCTCAATTAGACTTTTATATTCTAAAAATGAAACTAGTCATTAATGAGTTGTGGTTTAAAGTCGGAAGAGCTACCTTCTGTAGTTCCGCTTCGTCCTCCAAATTGGTGTATCTCAAAGCTTCCATCAAGTCCTTGATGTACTTCAACTTTGAATCCATCTGCTCGAGCTTGTCCTTCCGTTCGTTCTCGTCCTCCTTCAAGTTCCCGGCCATATTCTGTCGAGATATTCGGTCGTTAGTTATGGTACACATAAATGCTCAAATTATTTGTGCGATTGTTTATTATTAAATCTCATACCTCGTAATAACGTTGCAGTATCCACTCGTCGTCCTGATTTTGCGTTCCTTGACCGGCCATGAAGGTAGCCTTCTTCTTTCTTCGGTCGATGCCAAAGTACTGCGACCAGTCAACGCTCTTCTTCCTCACCTGGACGAATTTCGATTTGGCCGTCTTTGTTGCGTTCTCCTTCTGACTCTTCGGCGACGACGTCGTATTCAGGGATGTGTCTGACGCCTTTTCGTCGTGACCGTGATCGTGAACATGATCCTGATCATGCTCGTGATCCTGATCATGATCGTGTGTATGATCGTGATTGTGATCGTGACTATGATCGTGATCGTGTTCATGCGCGTGGTCGTGATCGTGATCATGATCGTGTTCAGACTTGTAAGTGCGATTATGAGCATCCGTAGATTGCGTGCCGAATAAAGCTCCCAGATCTTGAGCAACCTTGAAGTATATATTTAGCGATGTTACATTACGTAATTACATTACATCAGGTTACGTTGATAAGAACAACAATATTCACGGATAACAGGAATACCCGCGGAATCGGAGAGCTTATATTAGCGAAAGTAGAAGTCTAGCACAGCTCTCTCTTTCTTTTTCTCTACGAAGTCTATCGTGAAGTTATAAAGGCAAGAGCCAATGTTGGTTTAGTTAAGGTGACCAGACGTCCCGATTTTTCACTTTGTCCCGAGTTTTTTCGAGTGCTATTCGGGACCCCGATTTGCCATCATTTTCAATAATTGTCAAATAATTTTCGGATCTTTTAACCCCCTTCCCCCCGCCCCCCGTTTCACACATTTATAAAGTGTCTCGAATTCAGGGCTGGGAAATCTGATCACTTTAGTTTAGCGATCGATGATATTACAAAAAAGTTTACAATTATTTATATTTTATTATGTTTTAATTTGTGAATTAATAATCTCTCGACTTTGATCGTTGAAGATCTAAATATTTAGAACCAAAGCGTTCGATGTTACTAAATGTAAGTGAATTCAAGCTTCTTTGTGTAATATATTATTGATTGCCACTAGATAAACGTGTTGGCTCTTACCTTTATTTTTTATTTTTTTTTATTTTTAGCTTCAGTTATGCGTATGAAACTGAATATTATGTCAGTAACTAGCTTTTTATGACTTATATTTAATACTTTCCATGTTTAATGACTTCTATTTTCGCTAATATATCTCCAAACCGTCTTGAAAAGTCCACGTCTACAAAAACTGAAACTACATTTATCGTCAGCTTCATCGTGAGTTTATCGTGAGGTTTCCGTAGTCTTGCAATATCACACGTGATTCTCTCTATTTCAGGTGATTCTATCTAAATTATGGACTTAAAACGATTTGGAAGTAAGCGCGTCTACTAATTCTAATTCTAATAATTCTACTGAAGCAGCGAAATCTAATTTGCACGTTGACTGCGCGATTGCATAACAATTCGTGACTCTCATCAATTTTTACGCTGTTGACTCAAGCGTCGCTTGTTTTGAGATAATCATTTCGACGAATCGTATCAGTTGTCGATTAGAAGCGAACAATTTTCGATCGTCGTTTACCGAGAGAATTTTGTCGACGCGAACTTTGATAACGCCTCGGTGACCATTTCGCACGATGTTAATAATATAACATGTTGCCACATGACAGCACTGAATACACATTTCCAAAGATTTTATTGGACATTATAAACAAATATACATGAATAGACATAAGTATAGACAGACAAGTAACGTTGCCATTTGGCAACATCCGATTAATGTCGAGATAAATTAATTGAACCGAATTTTCGCGCGACAGTTGCGCGAATTGAATGCCACTTCACACGAGTCATCTCATTTCGGGACTTGAGACTTGACGGACAAAATCTGTCTCATTATTTCAACGTGACAATTAGACAATAGCTCTCGATTCTGATGGTCGTGAGTCGTACAGTCGCGTTTCTCTTTTCTTTTCGTTTCTTTTTCTTTTCTTTCACTCGTGCGTATCGTCGTGGAGGGTAAATAAAACAACCTTGGGGTCGGTGGTCTTCAGCTTGGTCTGGGTGGGTCTGGGGCTTCTCTTAGCGACCGGATAACGTTTGGAAAACTTGCGATAGTTGCCGAATTCGCGGCCGATCGGGTATCTGCCGTTCACGTTCCTGCGCTCAGCCGGTGTGAGGTACAGGATGCTCTGATCCTGATCGTGTCCCACGAATTCGTTGTCGCCGCCGTCTCTTGTCTGACCCTTCGACGAGCCCTTGTTAAGCATTTCGCCCCAAGACATTGGTCCTGCAGTTCTGTCGGACAAACGTCGTTTTTGCGGCTCGTTAACGACGAATGTTTCGTTTCCAAAATTGAAATTTAATTAAGAACAAGATATTTTTTGTTGTCGTGCGGGAAAGAAAAATCTTGTTGAATTAACGAAATATCTGATGAGATATAAACGAACCAGAATTCTGGCAATTTCAACCGGAATTCTGGTTCGCTCATATTTCTCACCAGATATTTGATGAATCTAATCAAATTCTTTCTTTTATATATGATAGATGCAATTTTTTCTCCGAAACTTCTCTGAGCACATTCAGTGTCTGATAATTTGAACATTAATCTCGGATGTTTATGAGGTGAAGACAATCGCGATTTGAGGATGAAATTATACTTTTTAGCGATAATCGCGATTTTCAATATCGTTAATCAAATAAATACCTCCCGATTAGGAACCGGACTTACTCATATACTTTGTTCCCTCTACCAGCTCTGTATCTGTCGTAAAGCGTTTGTAAAGCGGTTAAATAATCGTCGCCGTCCTCCATCTCGTTCGGACCATACGGGGAACCGTCCAGCGGCTCGCCCAAGAGCCCAATCAATTTCGCCAGGTCCTTGTTGTCGATGTTCATCCGATCGCCGGTGCCACCTCGTTTGCGACTAGAACTTCGTTCGCGTTCACGGAAGATCGAAGCCACAGGCTCTTCCTGCAAGCAACATCGCACACCGTGTGATTCCGTTAGGACTTGAATTTTTCGACGTGATCAAATAGTAGATTGAATTTTTCAACTTTCCAGTTGAAGAGTCATTTGTAAAAACTCAATGTCGCTATCTAGTAAACAAAACAATCGTATCATGTATGTTTTGTTCGCTAAATAACAAATCGATGAGCTCACCTGTTCAGGCATGTTCTCCAGATAATCGAGCAGCGCCCTTTCGAGCAACTTGTCATGCAGTCCTTGGAAACCGTCTCCCACCGTTTCCAATTGGCCATTATCTGAAAACGTAATAATGTTGGACTCGTCTGTGACTCGTCATACTTCAACCTTTATCATTATCGAGCTTTCAAGAAGAGAGATTGGTAAAAAATGATCGAGACTCGACGAAGAGAAGATTGATATCGAGGAATTCCGGATTTAAATATAAAATGGTTTCGATAAGAATTGTCTGCGCTGTTCTACGTGTTTGAGTGCATGAAATCGAGCTTTTCATGTTCCATTATTAATCCCTTGGCTGCGGAGACCTAAACTGCATAAGTGGGCCCAAATGTGCAGCATTAAATAATAAATTAACAAACATGTACATGTGAGATCATTGAATAAGAATTTGTTGTTAAAATTGATAAATTCAAAATGGCGGACCTAACATTGTAGACCACGTAATTAAAAAATTTGGAAAAATAAAAAACTATATATTTTTTTTATTAAATATTGATTTATGTGTTTTTTAAAGAAATTTACCGTGAATCTATGAATCCATAAACAACGAAATTGAAAATGGCGTATCCAACGTGACGAACTAAAGTATGGGGCAAAATCAATTTTATTTCAATAAAATATATTAATAATAATAATAATAATAATAATTAATATATTAATAAAATGTAATTGTGATAATATTTTTACTTCTTTCATTGTAAATAAGATAAATGCAAATCTATTGACATATGTAGGCATTTATATGAAAAAAAAAAAAAAATTCATGACGCCTATAGACGTCATACGCAGCCAAGAGGTTAATTATGAATTAATCAGATCTTATTGTGACGTAAAGACAACGCGATAAGAAATTTCGTTTGCTAAGAGGCTTAAGATCGGAGATACTCCTTTCCCGTTTTTGTTTAGAGAGTTCCTTGATCGCTATCAATGGAGGCCTTGCTCGTTCTTACCGCCTGGTAAGAACTCGATCTCCTCGTCCTCCTCGTCGAGGTCCCGATCGAACTTGCGGTCAGCGTCGCCGCCGTGGTACTTGAACGAGTGGAGGTCGTTGTAGTCCACCGCGTCCAGGGACCTCTGCTTCCGCACGACGGCGTCCAATGCGCTCTTCAGGGACTCCTGGTTAGATTGCCGGGCGACGGGGACCAATGCGAACGCGCCGGTGCCCAGCACGAGCAGCGATAGCATCCATCCTTGCGATGCCATATTCGCGAGCTGGCCAACAGAGACGTGGCGTCATGCGAGATTGCGTGTAAAATGCGCATAATCTAACGGTCGATTGCGTAGAATTCTTTTCCGACGGAAGTGTTACACTAGGTCGGCTGGGCGTCGAGGCGAAGCGAGGTGGAAAATGAAGTGGCGCGGTCTTCGAGCAATTTTTGCTAATTGGATTGCGTAACGTTCGCTCTGACGAGCTCTCCTCGTCCCGCGGAGAGATTCTTCGATCCTCTTCGAATCGGGTCGATCGTTTTGTTCAAAGTAGAACTAAAGCGGGAAAACGGCCGAACTCGATGGCAGTTCTCTCGTTCACGCGATTACTACGTTCTCGAGAACGTTTGATTCCGCGGTTGCGAAAGCGCATTCTGTATCGTTATAAATACACACATGTATATTGATTACATCTATTTTACATACTATATCGTGACGATATCGATTTTGTTAATAGGGTGGCGAAGTCCTTCGCGCGAATGAAGACGTATCGAGAAAATCTACGACGTAACTGCGGCTGACACAAGCGGATTGACTTATTGGGACCACTCAGCATAATCTAATCTGATATTCGTAAAAATTCATCGAGCTTAGTATAATTAAAAATAAGAAATTAGAGAGGGAGAGAGAGAGAGAGAGAGAGAGAGAGAGAGAGAGAGAGAGAGAGAGAGAGAGAGAGAGAGAGAGAG